TTAACATGTAGTGTGTACAGGAGGGGAACGGGGACAGAGACATGCCGAGACTGCAGCCATAGCACACTGCTGCAAAAATAGACACTTCTATACACAGCAAACTTTTCCCAAATCAGTAGATACAGCCCCCCCCCCCCATGCTCGTTCTCATGTAAATAGGGCACTGTGGTCTCAGGTCTCAGCCTGGAGTAAGCCTGTGTGTGATAAGAAGTATAGAGGGGGCCCTGGAAAGTTCAAAGTATTGCTCAGGTTTTATTTCAGTTCCAGCCCTTTGGCCTAACCTTATTTCGGTCAATTGTGTCACTATTTTATAGCTTTTCAAACTGTAAATCTATATGATCCTCAAATAGTGGTCCTGTATGGCACAGTTGGTAGAGTGTGGCGCTTGCACCAACAGGGTTGTGGGTTTGATTCCCAGGACCACCCCATATGTAAAAATGTATGCACTCATGACTGTAAGTCTCTTTGGATAAAATGGCATATATTATTATTATTATTAATACATAGAGTTACTGTAAATCAGTGAGTCGGAAGTAAGCGTATACCATAGAATTACATATAAAATCATATGGAATTGTAGGATTTGGTGTACACTACAACATGTACAGTTGTTTTTCAATTTCATAATCTCCTATTGGCCCTGTTGTATAAAAGTCAAATCAAGAGTTCAATGCTCCGGAGTTACCTTTCCCTACTCCTATGCAGTGTTTTGGTATTTTCCCCCTCCAAGCAGTGTTGCAATAGGCCTACGGGGGTTACATGCCCCACACTAACCTTGGTGGTGTGTATAATTTCCTTCATATAATTGTGCAAATGTAGCCATTGTGCTATTAATATGCCACAGTATGTCACTTATCTGATTATTCTAGTAAGACTCCTCAAATATGATTTACTCCATGAACTCAACCATGGGGAAAAAATGATAATAGTCTGTAGTGCAAAAGGTTGTAAGTCTGGAACTTTCCCCAGCTGAGCCTGCCTAATGACAGGCTAGGGAAGACAGAGGACCCGGCCCAGACCTGCAGTATCTGGGTGAAGAGAACAACAGTGGTTCCATACTGTGTGACCCTGCCAAACACGCCACAATATAAGAGGGCATTGTACACAGACACAACATCACGTCACACCTCGGATCAGATCTCCTCCCTGTAACATTATTCATGCATTTGTAAGGGTTGGGGTGAGGTGTGACCCAGGTGCGGTGCAGGATATACAGTAGGCATTAGGCAGAGATGGTGAAAAAAGGATCTTTACTGGTGGTCCCGAAGCCAGGATACAAAATAACGGACTTTACACGAAAAAGAAAGGCAGAGCAAATAAGACACCAAAAAACAGGCAGACAACCAAAAATACAAAATACTAACTATGACTGAAATAATAAAGAAACAGGGAGAACACTTCTCACGTACCTGTCCATACATCCCGCGATCAGACACTGATTAGTACTGCTTGGCATAGTGAAACTAGCAGAGAAAACTGAGCAAGGGAACACAGGGAAGTGAGGGCATAAATACACAGGTGAATCAGATAGACACAGGTGACACCAATAGGAAGATGATTAGTCCGACTGTGAGTGAGGATGTGCCCTCACTCCTGTAACAGCATTAGGCCCATGTGAACATAGCCTCTGTCACAGCCTTTCACTTCGGCCAAGCCTGGGAGCCGAGGCTAATGTGAACATGGTTGCATTGACATGCAGCATTGGTTGTAAATTGCACAAATATGGTGATTTCCCTCAGATAGTCAAGGGGGGACCAGCACATTGTTGATGTAAATTGATGGGTGAGTGATTGTCTAACATTATCAAACATAGTCAATATAGACTATATTATCTAACAGTCAATGTAGTCTACAACATAGTCAATAACGACATACTGTACCTCCTGTTAGTGGAGGTGGAGCTGTGTGAAGAAAAGCTACATTTGCTCTTCCCATGTTTTTCATTACAAGGATGTTCAAGCATTTCACTGCAACCTTTATACCTGCTGTAAACTGTGTACGTGACAAATAACATTTGATTTGATATTGCAGGAATCTTACTTACAAAAGCAACACATGGAAATGGTGTTAAGACCAAAAATGATTGATAGCTATCATCCTTCTCAACCATGAATGCTGTGAGTTAACCACTACCTTCTTCTATGTTGTGTCATGAGCTGCCAGTAATTCTTGATTTAGAAAGATATTTGTTTTTCTGCATTAACGGTTGTGGCGGCAGTTGGCTTGGAACCAACCAAGCACTCGGTCTTGCTGCAGTTAGTTTCATAACACAGAGAATGGCCACAAATGATCAGGAATTCTGACCGACAGGGGCCTGTGGGCCAGCAAGAATGTACAGACCTACAGTGTGGAGAGGATTACCCTCTCTTGCTGCGTCCCAAATGTCACCCTATTCCCTTTATAGAGCACTACTTTTAACCAGGGCCCATAGGGCTCTGGTCAAAAGTAGTTCACTATACAGGGAATAGGGTGCCATTTGGGACGCATACTTCCTCTCTCTGTAGATGATGAAATCCGGATCGAACTGCAGACAACAGACACATACCCAGAAACCCAATCCCCAGATCACTTACTTTTTGTAGGCCTGCCCGGCCTTTGAGAGAGGCAGATCAGGCAAAGCAGAGCAGGGAGCCTGTGAGGCTGAAGCGAGGGGACATTGTGCTCCCACTGCCGGTCTCAGTTCTCTCACTAACCCCTTCCCCTTGGCCCTAACAGTGTTTGTAGATCTGTAAGATGGAATCAATATAGTGTAATAAACCACCACTACCCTGATTATACCTATACAGACCGTTCAGATCTGCAAACGTTGAAAGGTTAGGGCCCAGGAGGCCATGTATAGGATTTCTGGGGAAACCTAAACCAGTATGGTCAGGAAATACAGTTTAGGTAAAGTTACATGAGAATTATGACCACATGATGAGTCACGGTTCAGAGTGGCTTGGAATAGTTGGGAGAGCTTAGATGTGGCAATCCTCTCAAAACAACATGTAAGCCTGGTGGCATCATAAGAAAGAGGTCTGTTTGGCTTCCAGATTTCATAAGGACAACAATAACCACAGCCAACAACCAAATGAGAAACAAATCTACTGCAGGTTAGATTAACCGCTCCATGACTCAAGAGCTTGCTACACTACCAAACGATCAATACATAAATATACATACATACTTTTGATTTTCCCCTGTAGAGTTAGAAGCTCATTGTTACATTGTACTTACACTGTATTTAGGATTTGGGTGAGGGATATGGTTAGGATTAGGATTACTGCAAGTTGTTACACTGTACTTACATTATAGCTACACTTTAATTTAAAGTGCACATCCAGACAGTATAGAATGTGGAAAATGTAAGATCAATGTACAGAAGAAAAAACTGTTACAAGGTTACAAAAAGCATTTAATTAAATAAATACAAAAATGCGGGCAGACAAAATAAAATGTGAAATTGTTCCAAAAATAATGTGCACTTAACATCAAAAAGCAATAGCTTATAAAACTCACCATTTTATTGGATTCATATTTTTCTATTTATTTCCAATTTTAACAACAGTTTATTACTGTAATAAGTTATCTGTAGTTTACAAAATATACAACTTTTTACCCTCAAACTCAACTCTGGACCTCAAAGTCAGTTCCTTTGCTTTTTTTCATTGTTCCCCTCTAATCAGGGACTGCTTTAGACCTGGGACACCAGGTGGGTGCAATTCATTATCAGGTAAAACAGAAAACCAGCAGGCTCCGGACCTCGTAGGTTAAGAGTTGAATACCCCTGATCTAGAACATAAGTAAACATCTAAACTGAATTTTAAGGAACTGGACAACCTATGAATCCATCTTTTCACAGACCAGTCTAGAATCTTGTGGCCCCTATTTTAATGCTTTACACTGGGGGTGTCCTTTAAGCCTATCATTCAGTCCTTCCAATCAATATTGATACTACTTCATTTATAAAATATATTATAATATTCACTTTTGCATTCTTTCAACTATCATAGTAATGCCTTAAAATGTCTAGAGAGGAACAAGCTCATGTACAGTACTGCACATCAGCTCTACTGTTTAATGCAATAACAAAAAGCTGTGCACTGCAGCCCCATGCAAACACCATAGAACATTTTGTAATTAAATAAACAACAAAATCATAGCAAATAGTAATTGAGTAACAGCCCATACCTCTTGTTCATTACTCATATAGCTATTGATTAGTAAACTATTTTACTAAGTCGTGGTGATATTATTCACCAATAGTTACACATAAACAGAAATGCTTCAAAAATGCTTTTGTGATGTCAAGAAAGGATATGTTGGTCATCTTTTCTCTGAAGATGTAAATAGATATATTAAGAGGCATTATAAATCAAAGAATCATAACATGTAAAGGTTGAACAACAGCATAGAGGAGATCTAAAAACCCAGAGCTTTGCAAAATAAACTAGAATACGTTCCAAATGGCATCCTATTCCCTATATAGTGCACTACTTTTGTCCAGGGCCCATAGGCACTATTTAGGGAACAGGGTGCCATTTGGGATACACACTAATCACCACCTGGAGCCAAATTCTGTCATGCTTGGCCGGTGTTACTCATTGCACTATATCAAGCAGTCTGATCAATTGCATCCTATTACATGGAATATATACAGTAAATATGTAATAATCAAACATAACACTGACAGTAAGACAGCATGAGGCATCAATTTCATGTGGACGAGTATTAAACAGTAAAATAAAAAAGACAAATAATAAAATAACTAAAATCATCTCCTAAGATTATTATTATTATCAGCAAGAGCACCTAATAAATATTCCAAAGCAACAAAAATTATTGGCACATGCTTTTGTACAGCGATTCCTCTTTCCAGTTATTCAAGTACACATAACTAGATACATATACATAAGGACAGTGATAAATTAAGGTGAAAGATAACATATATTATTTGGCTGCCTATGACGATTCTAATCAGATGGTTTGCAAGACGCTCTGGAATCATTCTGGAAGATTCTTTATTGTCCTTGTTGTGAGAGGGATGATGCTGCTTGTATAGTACCAAGTCTACCGTTCACTTTAACTGTTTTTGTGGGGGCATTGACCTGAATAAAATAGATTAAACATGAAAACCAGCGTTATTTTTTGCTCTGTACCAATAAAAAAAAAGCCTGACATTGAGTTATCAGAGTTCAGATCATGCAAGAAGTAGAATCTTTTGTGAAGACTGAAAGTGTTTTTATTTTATTTTTCTCATTGCTTAATCTAATGGAACAATACATTGCTCAAGCAGCACAGCCCCACAGACTGTGGAACTATGTGACGGAATCTTGGTCTCCAGCTATCACAGAATGTTTCCCAGGAGTTGTTTGTTCTGTCACAGACATGTTGCAACAAAAGACAAGGTAATACTACGTGAGAAATTGTGGGTAGTCGCCTGGCTGGTGAGTTCCCATGTGAGTACATGCACAACAGGTGATTTATGAACACCTCCATTTGCTCTATCTGAGAACATTGAATTTACAACCTGTAACTTGATGACTAAACTCGCTCCCAATAACTGTCTCTTTTGTGGTATTGCTATTGTATTGTTAGTGTGGCTGCCTGCAGTATAGAACATATTGTACCTTCTTCAGGCGCTCAGCTGCAGAGCCAGAGCGGATGGCCTCCAGCATTGCATCCCGGGCCAGAGCGGGGTTCCCCACAGCCCCCAGGGGCACCCCCACCATAGGGCGCTTGGGCTGGGTGGAGGGAGGGGCAAGAGGAGGAGAAGGAGGAGGGAGGAGCATAGAGGGGGGTGGAGGCGGCAGAGGCACAAATGGAGGAGGGGGAGGCATGGCAGGGAAAGCATCACACTGAGTGCTGTTCTCCTCCTCAGTCTTCCTGAACTTGTCAAGATCCTCTGCAGCCTGGGATTTGGTCTGTGGAGTGTAGAGAGGGGAACAGTCCAGAGTAGAGAGGGTGGCAGTCCAGACACATAGACCCACATGACGGCTGCTTACACACACACACACACACACACACACACACACACACACACACACACACACACACACACACACACACACACACACACACACACACACACACACACACACACACACACACACACACACACACACACACACACACACTACAACTTCCCTCATATACCTAGTGGTTTACTAGGCAGCAAAACAAAGGTTCAGCTTCAGCTAAATTTAGCTTCAGCTCCAACTAAATTCAACCTAAATTCCACATTATTGCCCTGAGAACCTGATTTAGTAATGCACATTTCTGAGATTCCTGCTGGTGAGCTGGGCAGGAACATTCTAGAGCTCACCACATCGGGCCTCCATCACAACTACATCTGCACATTTCCTCCTCTCATTTCACCATGGTCCTTACATGAAAACAAACCACATCACATTCAAGGGGAATGCAAATAGACTCATTTATAGTAAACATAGTGCTGATTGTTCTCCTGAAATGAGCTATTCACTGACATGCAACAGATCATCTGTGCTACAGCAAGACATTGCAAAACCAACGCATTGCACACCACCCTGTCTGACTCTTTGCTATAGCTTACCTTCTTTAGCCCTGCAGAGTTACTTTGGCCTCTAATGGCTGCCAGTAGCGCACATCGCTCATTCTCTTCCTCAACAAAAGATGATTTCTTCAAAGTGCTGCTTGCACTTGAGTCCGATATCTAGTCCGACAGGGAAAATCAGGGAAATTAGAAACCAAGCCCCTACATTACACCCAATTTTAAGTGGCTGTAGACTTAAAAACAGTGATCTTTGTGAAGTTAGCATGACGGTCACTCTATCTCTCTCACCTTTCTGAGCCTCTCCTTCCCGTCCCCACACTGGATGGCCGACATCAGGGTGGTGTGTAATGACATGTCCATCTGGACCGACTTCATGATCGACAGGTTTGAACTTCTTCACCGGCCCAAACAGACGGACCTGCTGGGGCTCTGGGAGGTCGTTGCTTGCAGCAGCTGCAGCCGCTCCCAGTGGTTCAGGCTTCTTTGCCAGGGCTGGACGACCTTTGGGACCTACTGTCTCTGATCTGCTCTGTGGGTGGTTGACCCTGCGAGGGCTTGGAGAGGGAAGGTACCTGTTCAGTGGGGGATTGTGGTGCTGGTGGTGGGGGTGGTGGGGGTGTCATCTGTGTCTGCTGTCTGGGACTGGGACTGTTGGGCCCGTGCTGCTTAGTGTTATTGGCCACCGTATCAGAGTCCAGTGACTTTGAGCTCCTTCCTCCACCTCGCAGGGTAGAACTGCTCCCATAACCACTCCGGTTCACTCCTTGCGTCGACTCACCGGAGACTACCCGTTTCTCTGCTGATAGGTAGTCAGGGTAACATTTAGCACCGGCGTGATAGGACCCAGACCCAGAGCTGCTCTCCTTCTTCACTGGTACATTAGTAGATGTACCAGAGGACCGCTGTGGATTTACATGAAAGGATCGACCCTCTTTCTGATAGCCGTAACTGCCAGGTGGCTTTCTCACGGGGCCAGACAACTCTGCTGGTACTTCTTGAATGTTGTCAGCTTTGGCCGTGGTGGGCTTCACAGCATATTTAGCAATGGCAGAAGCTACGTACTGACTGGATGTTCTCCTGGACGGCTTGAGGAAGGAAAGGTCTCTCTTCTGATCTTGGAGAATACCAGGGTTCAGTTTCATAGGCTGCTGCTGCTGCACAGGCGTCTCTGAAACTGGAACTGGGGCCTTGCCCTCTGCTTCCTGTGAGACGTCCTTTGTTACCTCAACAACATCTTTGCATGTTTCCTTAGGTGTCATCTTGGCTACAAGTTCAGAGGCCTTAGGTGTTGCCTTGGCTGCAGGTGGGTTAGAGGCTACGACCAGAGGGGTAGTTTTGGGAACCTCAGGCTCTGGGCTCTGGGTTTTTGTGAAAGCGACAGGCCCTCTACTAGCAGGGACCGAAGGTGCAGAAGTGTCCTGCTTGTCCTGCTTCTCCGTGGAGCTCCAGAAGGCTTTGGCTTTCCCCGGGAATGGTGAGACGGAGTCATCTTTGTTGATCCCCGACTCAGAGGAACCACCAAACTTGTTTTGGGCGATGGCCACTTTGACCATGTTACCCTGATCGTCAATTCTAATGGCACCTGTTGTCAGTGTGGCCAGGGCCTCTGCTTGCTTCTGAGGCTGGGTTGCAACTGCGGGCTTGGGAGGGACGATGGTGAATGTCTTCATACCGAATCGGGAGACTGGGCTACAGGTGATTTTGGTTTGTGCCTGGGGGGCAGCGTGGCCTCTATAGGTGGGAACCTCTTCCTCAGGGGACTTGGAATGGCTCTCTGAGACAGCGAGAGAGCTGTTGACAGGTGAGGCTTTCCTCTCAGCTCCCTCATTGGACTCCCGTCTTTGAACTTCCAGTTTAGCTTTAGTCTTAGAGACTGCTGCTGTGCGGTCTTTCCCCGTGGCGCCATTGGCAAGCTTCTTCCCTGGTAATTTGAGGCGCTGCGCGGGCTGTGGTTGACCAGAGCTGACTTTGCTGGAGCCGTCAGACGTACAGGCGCTGTTGTTTTTGTTCTGTATGCTACCAACACTTGAATGATGATGACTGTGGTTCAGGTCTTTATTGTCCGTTGTTTGAGAGCTACTCATTAGGGTGGCTTGGTAATCCGTCATGTTCTGGGTCTCGTAGTCCTCCAGGACTACATCTATGTCTGTGACTGGGACCTCCATATCCACCACAGACACTGGGATGTCATTGCTCTCAGTGGACATCACGTAGGGGTACTCTTGCACTGAAACAGCATCTATGTGACTTATATCTAGTGGACAGGGACAAACAAAAAATACATGTGTTAGCCGGCCTGCTTATTGACTATACAACAAATATTTGTTTTAGTCCTGTGCATCCATTGTGGTTTCCAGTATGTCTCCAGTATGTAATTCATGTGCATTTGATGGACAATACATTTGTGTTCTACTAAAAGCTCACCTGCTAGATCAGCCTCCAGATCAGCCAGAGTCTGGTTGAGCTGAGCGGTGAGCTCTGGGTCCTCTTCATAGATGTCCTTTGTTTTGCCTGCTTTGTCGTTGTGGCTGATATCACTGCTGTGTCTAAGGGAGGAGGGGGTAATACAAGTTACGTTTTGAGCTGTTTTGCAGGTAGCATAAAAGGATAACTCTCAAGTTAACTAAAAAGTTTGAAAGTTATATTTAGATCCTGGTGGAGTCTGCTGCCCTTGAAATATTTATTCATAAAAACGTAGTACTTGTGTTTTCAAGTTTATTTTCTTTCACACTTAGTTCAAGGTGTCCACTGAGCGTTCCTATGTTTTATTAATGTGTTTCTTTTCTAAACTAAAACTAAAAAGGCATGGGGGTTATATTCTTGCTCTTCTTGGCCAAGCCAAAGAGAACTTCCTCCTGCATACTAGGTTGAGCCTATTTTCCATGTTAAAAGATGACTGAGAAAAACCCCAGAGCCCTCAATTTAGAGCCCAGCAGATTTAAGTGACGCTGCAGGCTTTGGCAGGTAGCCCCTTAGCTCCAACACATGTGGACTGCAGTGACTCAGTCAGGAAGCACTGTTGGCGCCGTAAAACAGGCCTTTAAAAACCAGCCGGTGCAGAGACGTGAGAGACGTGAGATTGCTGACTAAATAGTGAGAAACGTAAGGCAGACTGAGAACTGGGAGCAAGGAGGTAGTTGGTAAATCATAGGAAAGATTAGGTACCCTTCCAATGAGAAAAGAAGGGTTAGCTAGGGTCTGCAACAAGGTTAGTAGTAGTAAGTGCATAAGGGTAGGATAACTAAGAAGTAATAATTGAAAAGCATTATGAGTTTGACTTTGCTAAGTCTCCACCCTGAACATTGCTATGATAATGCAGTGAGCAGAGCAGGTGAGTGGTAGTACAGCTATAGTACCTGTGTCTGGAGCCCCACGTGGCACAGCCCTCGTCACTATCACTAGAACAGTCCTTGATGAGGGGATGGATCATGGGATGAGAGGAGCCAGAAGAGCCCAGGGAGAGGCTCCCGTTTGGGGAGGTAGGGTGAGTGGTGTTAGAGGCAGAGGGGGAGCTGACCAGGCCAGAGTCCTCAGCCTCAGCCATGCCCTCGGAGGCTGCATAGCCCTGGTCCTGGAAGCTGCCACTGCCACTGCTGCCCATGGATAAAGTCTCCTCCGCCTCTGTGTCTGGGGTCTGGGGTCCTGCCACAGAGAGCCGCCGAGAGTGCAGCCAAGCTGGGGTCCGGGCAAAGGGGTGGTATACATGATCATCATTATCATGGTCCTCTGTAGCTCAATTGGTAGAGCATGGCGCTTTTAACGCCAGGGTAGTGGGTTAGATCCCCGGGACCACCCATACGTAAAAATTTATGCACACATGACTGTAAGTCGCTTTGGATAAAAGCGTCTGCTAAATGGCATATTATTATTATATTATATTATATTATCATCAACATAGTCATTATCATCATCATTAACAACATAATCCTCAGTATTATTATCAGTATTATCAACTGACAGAAAAAAGCTGTATAATGATGCAAAATGAGCTAATCTAGTTACAATGTTATCTGTAGTCTATTGAGAACAACAGTTCACAGCAACAGAAAAATAGAGGTTACACAAGCATGTGCATTAAAGAGAAAGGAGAGAAGCAGACAGAGGGGAAGAGTGAGATAAATGTTATTATACAATGTTAGCTAGACATACATTCTGAGACACACACACACACACTCAATGAAACTGCTACGTTGATGTGGGCAGGCTTAAACAAACCTTATGATCCTATACTCAACATTTCCATGAACGATATTGACATGTTACATCATATACCGTAGTCCTCTGGTCTCCCACTTGGCATTGGGGCAAAACATTTAGATTGTATAATGTCTCACTCATCTCACTGGTAATCAAGCCAAAAGCAGGAGCATTAATGTACAGTACCAGTCAAAAGTTTGGACACACCTACTCATTCAAGGGTTTTTCTTTATTTGTACTATTTTCTACATTGTAGAATAATAGTGAAGACATCAAAACTATGAAATAACACATATGGAATCATGTAGTAACCCAAAAAGTGTTAAACAAATCCTAATATATTTGATATTTGATATTCTTCAAAGTAGCCACCCTTTGCCTTGATGACAGCTTTGTACACTCTTGGCATTCTCTCAACCAGCTTCATGAGGTAGTCACCTGGAATGCATTTCAATTAACAGGTGTGCCTTCTTAAAAATGAATTTGTGGAATTTTTTTCCTTCTTCATAAGTTTGAGTAAATCAGTTGTGTTGTGACAAGGTAGGGTTGGTATACAGAAGATAGCCCTATTTGGTAAAAGAGCAAGTCCATATTATGGCAAGAACAGCTCAAATAAGCAAAGAGAAACGACAGTCCATCATTACTTTAAGACATGAAGGTCAATCAATCCAGAACATTTCAACAACTTTGAACATTTCTTCAAGTGCAGATGAAACTGGCTCTCATGAGGACCGCCACAGGAAAGGAAGACCCAGAGTTACCTCTGCTGCAGAGGATAAATTCATTAGAGTTACCAGCCTCAGAAATTGCAGGCCAAATAAATGCTTTACAGAGTTCAAGTAACAGACACATCTCAACATCAACTGTTCAGAGGAGACTGAGGGAATCAGGCCTTCATGGTCGAATTGCTGCAAAGAAACCACTACTAAGGGACACCAATAATAAGAAGAGACTTGCTTGGGCCAAGAAACACGAGCAATTGACATTAGACCGGTGGAAATCTGTCCTTTGGTCTGATGAGTCCAAATTTGAGATTCTTGGTTTCAACCGCCGTGTCTTTGTGAGACACAGAGTAGGTGAACGGATGATCTCCGCATGTGTGTGTTCCCACCGTGAAGCATGGAGGATGAGGTGTGGGGGTGCTTTGCTGATGACACTGTCAGTGATTTATTTAGAATTCAAGGCACACTTAACTAGCATGGCTACCAGAGCATTCTGCAGCGATACGCCATCCCACCTGGTTTGGGCTTAATGGGACTATCATTTGTTTTTCAACAAGACAATGACCTAACACACCTCCAGGCTGTGTAAGGGCTATTTGACCAAGGAGAGTGGTGGAGTGCTGCATCAGATGACCTGGCCTCCACAATCACCCGACCTCAACCCAATTAAAATGGTTTGGGATGAGTTGGACCGCAGAGTGAAGGAAAAGCAGCCAACAAGTGCTCAGCATATGTGGGAACTCCTTCAAGACCGTTGGAAAAGCATTCCTCATGAAAGCTGGTTGAGAGAATGCCAAGAGTGTGCAAAGCTGTCATCAAGGCAAAGGGTGGCTACTTTGAAGAATCTCAAATATAAAATATATTTTGATTTGTTTAAAACTTTTTTGGTTACTACATGATTCCACATGTGTTATTTCATAGTTTTGATGTCTTCACTATTATTCTACAATGTACAAAATAGTCAAAATAAAGAAAAACCCTGGAATAAGTAGGTGTGTCCAAACTTTTGACTGGTACTGTATGTGTTCCATTTATTAGGTTTACAGTATTATCCAGCCAGCATGTAGAGCACATCACTTAGAAGTCATTAAGAGAGATGCTTTAAAGCCTCCTCTGTAGCTCAGCTGGTAGAGCACGGTGCTTGTAACGCCAGGGTAGTGGGTTCGATCCCAGGGACCACCCATACACAAAAAAATGTATGCACGCATGACTGTAAGTCGCTTTGGATAAAAGCGTCTGCTAAATGGCATATTATACACTGCTCAAAAAAATAAAGGGAACACTTAAACAACACAATGTAACTCAATCACACTTCTGTGAAATCAAACTGTCCACTTAGGAAGCAACACTGATTGACATTAAATTTCACATGCTGTTGTGCAAATGGAATAGACAACAGGTGGAAATTATAGGCAATTAGCAAGACACCCCCAATAAAGGAGTGGTTCTGCAGGTGGTGACCACAGACCACTTCTCAGTTCCTATGCTTCCTGGCTGATGTTTTGGTCACTTTTGAATGCTGGCGGTGCTTTCACTCTAGTGGTAGCATGAGACGGAGTCTACAACCCACACAAGTGGCTCAGGTAGTGCAGCTCATCCAGGATGGCACATCAATGCGAGCTGTGGCAAGAAGGTTTGCTGTGTCTGTCAGCGTAGTGTCCAGAGCATGGAGGCACTACCAGGAGACAGGCCAGTACATCAGGAGACGTGGAGGATGCCGTAGGAGGGCAACAACCCAGCAGCAGGACCGCTACCTCCGCCTTTGTGCAAGGAGGAGCAGGAGGAGCACTGCCAGAGCCCTGCAAAATGACCTCCAGCAGGCCACAAATGTGCATGTGTCTGCTCAAACGGTCAGAAACAGACTCCATGAGGGTGGTATGAGGGCCCGACGTCCACAGGTGGGGGTTGTGCTTACAGCCCAACACCGTGCAGGACGTTTGGCATTTGCCAGAGAACACCAAGATTGGAAAATTCGCCACTGGCGCCCTGTGCTCTTCACAGATGAAAGCAGGTTCACACTGAGCACGTGACAGAGTCTGGAGACGCCGTGGAGAACGTTCTGCTGCCTGCAACATCCTCCAGCATGACCGGTTTGGCGGTGGGTCAGTCATGGTGTGGGGTGGCATTTCTTTGGGGGGCCGTAAAGCCCTCCATGTGCTCGCCAGAGGTAGCCTGACTGCCATTAGGTACCGAGATGAGATCCTCAGACCCCTTGTGAGACCATATGCTGGTGCGGTTGGCCCTGGGTTCCTCCTAATGCAAGACAATGCTAGACCTCATGTGGCTGGAGTGTGTCAGCAGTTCCTGCAAGAGGAAGGCATTGATGCTATGGACTGGCCTGCCCGTTCCCCAGACCTGAATCCAATTGAGCACATCTGGGACATCATGTCTCGCTCCATCCACCAACGCCACGTTGCACCACAGACTGTCCAGGAGTTGGCGGATGCTTTAGTCCAGGTCTGGGAGGAGATCCCTCAGGAGACCATCCGCCACCTCATCAGGAGCATGCCCAGGCGTTGTAGGGAGGTCATACAGGCACGTGGAGGCCAAACACACTACTGAGCCTCATTTTGACTTGTTTTAAGGACATTACATCAAAGTTGGATCAGCCTGTAGTGTGGTTTTCCACTTTAATTTTGAGTGTGACTCCAAATCCAGACCTCCATGGGTTGATACATTTGATTTCCATTGATAATTTTTGTGTGATTTTGTTGTCAGCACATTCAATTATGTAAAGAAAAAAGTATTTAATAAGATTATTTCATTCATTCAGATCTAGGATGTGTTGTTTAAGTGTTCCCTTTCTTTTTTTGAGCAGTGTATTATAACCCATGAGTGACCTTGGCCCCAGTGTGTCTCTGGTGTGTCTCCAGTGTGTGTGTGTGTGTGTGTGTGTGTATGTGTGTGTGTGTGTGTGCTGGGCCTGTCAACTTCGGGCAGAGCTGTAATGGTGAAGAGAGCCTGTTCCTGGAGATCCAGTGACTCACACAGAGTGGCCCTCCCAAACCTTTCCAAGCACTGGCTTAGTCATGCCAGCTGCAACCACAGCCAGCACACACTCTCCCTAATCACCAGACACACTCTGGCTATACCCAAAACAGCCAAAAACACTCTCACAAACAACCTCAAGCACATGCACAGTATATCCCTATCCAAAACAAAATCTTACACAAACATGAACTCATGCTTGCTCCCATCACATAAACCCAAACTATGCACAAACCAAGTCAAGACACTCAGGCAGTAACTCTCTCTCTATGCCAGTAACACTCTCTCACAAACATCCAGTCAGATCCAGACATCTATCATCTCTCTATCCACAGCATACTAAAACACACTAAGCCACATTACCAGCACACACAGACCAAAATCCCAATCACAAATAATTTCCTCATGGCCTCAATCAACAAGTGGTCTTTAAAGTCTTTAATGTAAAATGAAATGATAAAATATTAATGTTTTTATGCTTGTCCATTTCAAGGAAATCCTTGATCTCAATTATCTGTCTTGGACGCCATGCTAATCTTGCACTTAAAAGTGCTTTTTTGTATTGATTTATTGGTCACTCCTTAATGGAGTCAACCAACCAGCATGCAGAGAAACAACAGCCTTGTTTCTAGTTACTAACCATTACAAACACTAAGCAATAATACAGAAACCTATACCACCACCATCAAATCATTGATTTGTGGATATCATATGACTTTCCTTATACCCTCATTTCAAAATGTCTTCATCAATCACTCCACACTCAATACATGTATGGGTATCTCATCTGCACTTAAATAGCCTACTGATCACACACATCCCAGTCCCCATCAGCCCTCACACATCACACTCTGTCCTCTTAGTTCTCTACTGTACCAACCACTGTATAACTAGCTGAAATACAAAACGGCTTATAGTTTATACTGTATATACAGACATTTATAAAAACAAGCCACAAACACAAGGAAAAGGAAGCCACATTCCACAACTGAGGGATTTGAAAGTGTAGAGTTGGGAAAGAAAGGCAGTTCTAGGTACAGTTCTAAGAACAGGAGGAGGAGGATGGAAGGAGTAGAGGTCCAGCAGGAAGAGATGAAGGTGTAGAAGAAGCGAGGGAGGAGAGGAGGTGGGAGAAGAAGACAGTGAGAGGACGGCAGGCCAGAGAAGTCTGTCTGTCTGTCTGTCTGTTCACCGAGGCTTGGAGAATGGGAAACGGACAGGGGCACAGCAGTAGACTGTGGAAGGGAGAAAATAAGAAGACATGAGAAAGTTGATAGAAAGAGGACAGGGTAGATAAAGGTGTTCTGGAGCCCTGGAGAAAGAAGTTGCAGCTATCGCAGCCTGATAACAGACAGCAGGAGATCAAAAAAACATTGGATGAAAGCCTCACAGGTTGATTAACGTTGCGTCCTAAATGGCACACTATTCCCTATATAGTGCACTACTTTTGAACAGAGCCCTATAGGCCCTGGTCAAAAGAAGAGCACTATATAGAGAATAGGGTACCATTTGGGATACAAGCAACTTCACCGTCACAGCTGACCTTCAGTATTGGGCTCAGCTGGCCTATCAGCCTGTCTGTTATAAAGGAGGTCTCATAACTGTTTAACTGACTGCAAAGGAGATTAACCACGTGGCAAGCCTGGATAGAATGTCCACATGAGCCGGACTACACATTAAGAGGGAAAACTGTGATACACACACAGAGATTGATTTCAACATTTTTACATTTGAGTCATTTAGCAGAAGCTCTTATCCAGAGCAACTTACAGTAGTTAGTGCATATATTTTCACACTTTATTTTTTTCGTACTGGTCCCCCGTGGGACTCAAACCCACAACCTTGGCAACCTTGCAAGCACCATGCTCTACCAACTGAGCCACACGGGACATTCAACATTCAACAACAACTATGAAGTTCAGGGAGGGAAGCAGCACTGAAAAAGGAGAGGAGTTAGAGGAAGACATGAAGGTTAGAAGGAGAGCGGCTAGCTGCAGGAGGAGAAGGCAGCCCAATAGTAGTGGAGGTCAGCTGGGATGAGAGACCTACACTGAGGGGCCTCCTCCATGTGGCTCTCTGGTGAGGCATCGGGGGAGTCTGGGTCTGAGGGAGGGGGAGGGTACGGCGGTGGTGGGGGGATGACTAACTGGGGGGGCTCTCGTACTGGGGTTCGCCGAGGTTTGAGTGGCACTGGATGCTCAGCACCTAAAGAAAAGGAAGGATGCAGCAAGCACTGGGTGTTAGAATGGGGGAAGTCAATAGGCTTGAGAAAGTTGCATTGAAAAACACAAATTCTGTATCATCATTAAAAGAAAAACCCAGGAAATACAACTGTTACATGTTTTTTTTTTGCCTTTGTTCATCATACTGTGCAGAAAGAAATTACAATTTTAAAAAAACATTAAACAAAAGACACAAGGCAATCAATGAATAGATATATTAACAAATAACTGAAAGCTGCTTATAACTGCTTAATGTACGTGGAGAAAGTACATTAAAGCTCCTCTCTTGAATGGAAGCTTCTCATTGGCAATTGTGTTGCTTGCTGATCAGACCTACTCTATGCCCCAGACCCCAGCTGGGGAAGATAGAAAAGGAGCTTCACAAAACACTCCAGGCAAGGGCCGGACTACCGCATCACAGAGAGACTGATGGCACTGTGTGGACTGGAGCTGAATGGCCTGCCACTGGGGTGTAACTGTGTTGGTCCTAAATAACACCCTATTACCTATATAGTGCACTACTTTTGACCTGGGACCTGGGTCATAAATAGTGCACTATACGGGAATAGGGTGACATTTGGGATACACCCAGTAACAGGCTGATGTAAAGGCAGCCAGTGCTGAGTGATGTGAGCAATATGTCAACATATGCCTCACCCATCCCTTACTCAGCAGCTGATGGACTGCATGGAGTAAAGCTGGCCGTGGGAGTGACTGGCTAACTCTGCGCCTCAGCCCCTTCAGATGATGGACTACGTTACAGGTGTGACAGCTAGCTACGGGACTTAACCGCACACAGCAGATTAAGATGAGAGCTTCCCTATTGTCAACACAGGACATAGGGTAAGAAACACACCCTGCAGAGGCTAACAGATGACCTACAGGCCCTTTCAAAAACAATGAGGGGGACACAAGCACGAGCACGCACACACACAGACAATGGGTGGGTGGAATGATTGAAAAAGCCCCAATTGAGTGTGTTGAAATCTCAGTATTTTTCAGACAGAAAATGTCTCTTAAGATGAGAATCAACGATCCAAAAACCACCCATTAGAGATGGAGCCTCTGTGCCTGAGCCAAACATGATGGTGTGAGAGAGAGAGAGAGAGAGAGAGAGAGAGAGAGAGAGAGAGAGAGAGAGAGAGAGAGAGAGAGAGAGAGAGAGAGAGAGAGAGAGAGAGAGAGAGAGAGGGAAAACAAGTGAAAAAAGGAAAAGAGAGCACATAGAAGCAGTGTGCCATGTGAGAGAGGAGAGATAGCACTGTTCCTGCTAACAGAGCCAATATAGGATCTTAGTCTCCACACAGCTGGAGAGGTAGGAAACAACTGCGGTCACATACATTATAGAACGTAAACAATGATTATCTTTAGCCCACAGGGGTTAAATAAGGGGAAGCATCTAAAATCCCTGTCGTAAATCATCCCTAATTGGTGCATGTCATCTATTTATTTTACATACTGTACAACTGATGATGTACAACCACAAATATCCACAAATATACAACTTCAGATCAGATCATAATGATTTGTTTTGTTATGTTTTGGGGAAGTCTAGTTGTTCTGCCTTGTGAGCAATAGATAGGTCTGTCGGTCTGACAGGGTCTTCCCAGCAGAAGTCTATTTGTTCTGCACAGTGCCTTGGGAGTAGTGGAGGGGAGGGAGGCACACCCAGGTCTATAAATCAACACCCCAGCGCTGTCTGCTTTAAGTGCGTCCACTGCACTAAACACTTCATCCCTCAACCTCTCTCATTCTCTCCAAGCTAAATAAATATTGTCCGCTTCAACCCGTTTCAAGAAAAGACATGAAGAGTAAAGCAATCGATATAACTCTAGTCTTGTGCATGTTGTGCATATTCTACACTACAGTGCATCAATAGGAATAGCAAGGCTAATAGCAATGCTATTTCACCTGGTTTCCTGAGGACAGATTGTACAAAACATAAGGCATTCAATCAAATCTGCAGCGCTGAAATACCAGCCCACTCCTGTCCTGTGACGTAGGGGTTATTTAGTTTATGCTACCTTGGGCCCCTACTGGCTAAATGACTGGTACAGGTATCATATCTACCACCAGCAACTCAGTTCAGGTTGAGGGGAACCTGTTATAGTGAAAAGCGGTAGTAGTGCAACAATCGTTGCGGGTGTTCTCCAATTGGGTTAACCCATTTGGGGGAGATCATTAAGGAGCCAACCTAGGCAAGGGTTGTTACACTGTTATATGACAAACATTTAGGAAGTTAGTGCTCAACGTGGTGGTCATCTGCTGCTGAACACTGGGACTGGAACAGCCTGTGGGTTGACAGGAGAGAAACCTTGATCGGCCACTTTACATTGACTAGATGTGTTACTGATGATACTGACCCATGGCGCTGTGTCTGTTGTTCTCTGTCTCGTCTAGTTTCAGGCCGAGAGCAGACTCTCCTCTGGTCTCCTCCGGTGTGGTGCTGCGGGACGAGTCGGGGGTGGGCTTGGCCTTGTCAATGCTGCTGCTGGGCGTGGAGTCAACCTTTTCAACTTTGCTGGTAAGGGCGGAGTCAGGGGCAGCCTTCACCATATCAGTCTTGCTTCTGGGGCCGGTGTCAACCTTGCTAGGGGCGGAGTCTCGGGAGGAGTCAGCCATGGCAGCACTGCTGCTGGGGGTGGAATCAGGGCTGGGCTTGCACACATCAGCCCTGCTGGAGGCGGAGTCAGAGTCGGCCATTGAGGTGTCAGCGACAGAGGTGCCGGCGGCCACCCCACTACTGCTACTGCTGCTGCTGTAGACAGACCCATTGCTCAGCTCAGAGCCAGAGTCCTCCTCCGCAGGCAGGCTTGGGGTAGGAGAGCTGGGGGCTGGAGAGGGAGAGGGGGCTATCTGGACAGAGGTGTGAGGCGCTGGGGTGCTAGGAGCTGGGGTGACAGAGGCAGCAGGGCAAGGAGGGGGTGCCGGGGCCTTCCTCTTCCTCAGTGTACTCTCTGAGTCAGGAGCCACCTGAGAGAGAGAGAGAGAGAGAGAGATACCCTATAAACCATTTATTCTTGGACATCATCACTGCCCATTATCATTATTATTCGGTGCACTATGCAGAAATCGCTGCACCATTTCCTGGTTGCTAAAATTCGGATAGTTCGCCTAATTTCAATTTATGTTACAAAACTAGCAATCATTGTGTAGAAAATAATTCTACCATCTAAACCGCTGTGAAATATATTTTCTATAATCAAAAATATTGTATTTCCAGCAGTTTGAAGATGGTGTGCAAAACCAAAAGACGCAAAAACATAACTTAAGAACGGGAAGCATAGAAACAGATCTACTGCTTATTAGACTTGCTTTCAATGAGAATGACAGATCTATAACTAACATTTCTATGTGAATTTGGTCAGGTCGCCCAAAAAGTTACATATTGTAGCTTTAAGACATTAATACCTTTTTAAGATGAAATGTATTGTATGGATTATTGAATTTTGCTGTCAGTCAGAATATCAGTCATAATACCTACAGTGAGGGAAAAAAGTATTTGATCCCCTGCTGATTTTGTACGTTTGCCCACTGACAAAGACATGATCAGTCTATAATTTTAAAGGTAGGTTTATTTGAACAGTGAGAGACAGAATAACAACAAAAAAATCCAGAAAAACGCATGTCAAAAATGTTATAAATTGATTTGCATTTTAATGAGGGAAATAAGTATTTGACCCCTCTGCAAAACATGACTTAGTACTTGGTGGCAAAACCCTTGTTGGCAATCACAGAGGTCAGACGTTTCTTGTAGTTGGCCACCAGGTTTGCACACATCTCAGGATGGATTTTGTCCCACTCCTCTTTGCAGATCTTCTCCAAGTCATTAAGGTTTAGAGGCTGACGTTTGGCAACTCGAACCTTTAGCTCCCTCCACAGATTTTCTATGGGATTAAGGTCTGGAGACTGGCTAGGCCACTCCAGGACCTTAATGTGCTTCTTCTTGAGCCACTCCTTTGTTGCCTTGGCCGTGTGTTTTGGGTCATTGTCATGCTGGAATACCCATCCACGACCCATTTTCAATGCACTGGCTGAGGGAAGGAGGTTCTCACCCAAGATTTGACGGTACATGGCGCCGTCCATCGTCCCTTTGATGCGGTGAAGTTGTCCTGTCCCCTTAGCAGAAAAACACCCCTAAAGCATAATGTTTCCACCTCCATGTTTGACGGTGGGGATGATGGTCATAGGCAGCATTCCTCCTCCTCCAAACACAGCAAGTTGAGTTGATGCCAAAGAGCTCGATTTTGGTCTCATCTGACCACAACACTTTCACCCAGTTCTCCTCTGAATCATTCAGATGTTCATTGGCAAACTTTAGACAGGCCTGTATATGTGCTTTCTTGAGCAGGGGGACCTTGCGGGCGCTGCAGGATTTCAGTCCTTCACGGCGTAGTGTGTTACCAATTGTTTTCTTGGTGACTATGGTCCCAGCTGCCTTGAGATCATTGACAAGATCCTCCCGTGTAGTTCTGGGCTGATTCTTCACCGTTCTCATGATCATTGCAACTCCACGAGGTGAGATCGTGCATGGAGCCCCAGGCCGAGGGAGATTGACAGTTATTTTGTGTTTCTTCCTATAACTGTTGTCACCTTCTCACCAAGCTGCTTGGCGATGGTCTTGTAGCCCATTCCAGCCTTGTGTAGGTCTACAATTTTGTCCCTGACATCCTTGGAGAGCTCTTTGGTCTTGGCCATGGGGGAGAGTTTGGAATCTGATTGATTGCTTCTGTGGACAGGTGTCTTTTATACAGGTAACAAACTGAGATTAGGAGCACTCCCTTTAAGAGTGTGCTCCTAATCTCTACTTGTTACCTGTATAAAAGACACCTGGGAGACAGAAATCTTTCTGATTGAGAGGGGGTCAAATACTTATTTCCCTCATTAAAATGCAAATCAATTTATAACATTTTTGACATGCGTTTTTCTGGATTTTTTTGTTTTTATTCTGTCTCTCACTGTTGAAATAAACCTACCATTAAAATTATAGACTGATAATTTCTTTGTCAGTGGGCAAACTTACAAAATCAGCAGGGGATCAAATACTTTTTTCCCTCACTGTAAGTGTTCCATGCTTCTTTGTACACTGTTACTGAAAGGGGTATTATTACTTCCTTATACAACAAAACAATGTGTGACCCATTTAATCTCAACATGTCCTCTGATCCTGGAGGCATGGACATAAAAACACTTTCAAACGTGTTTGGCCACCTCAGGTTCTCTGGCAGGCTATTCCAGAGGCTGGGGGCATAGTAACTAAAGGCTACCTCTCCATGCCTCTTGGTCCTAGGCTTTGGGATAGTTAAAAGGCCAGTACCAGAGGACCTGAGGGACCTACTGGGTACATAACTCAAAAACATGTCTGACATGTATTGGGGTGCACAATCATAGGTTGATTTAAAAACCAATAGAATAATATTACAATTAATTCTAAAACTCACAGGCAGCCATTGCAGAGACTTTAAATCAGGTGTAATGTGTGCTCTCCGTCATTCTGTATGTTTTGCAGTTGACCAATGACCTTCTTGGGTAGACTGGAGAGCATTACAGTAGTCAAGCCTGCTTGTAATAAAAGCATGGATGAGTCTCTCTGTATCAGCCTGAGATAGAAACGTCCGCACCTTGGCAAAGTTCCTCAGGTAGTAAAAAGCTATTTTGGTCACATTCCTAATGTGTGATTCGAAATTGAGATCAGAATCTAAAATGACACATAGGTTTTTTAACTGGTGTTTTCTTTATTACCCGTGAATCCTATTTGACCGTAATGTTGTGTGTGACCTAAAGCTGTACATTGATCAAAAAAGGTGTTGTGTGAGTTGCGCATAACCCTCATCTCAAATTGGCTGTGATAGGAGAAAACTGAGGATGGATCAACAACCTTGTAGTTACTCCACAATACAAATCTAATTGACAGAGTGAAAAGGAAGACTGTACAGAATAAAACATTTCAAAACATGCATCCTGTTTGCAACAAGGCAATAAAGTAATACTTCAAAAAATTTGGAAAAGCAACTTTAAAACGTACATTTTAAAGTAGTCATTAACTTTTTGCCCTGAATACAAAGTGTTATGTTTGGGACAAATCCAATACAACACATTACTGAGTACCACTCTCCATATTTTCAAGCATAGTGGTGGCTGCATCATGTTATGGGTATGAAAATGTATGCACTCACTAACTGTAAGTCGCTCTGGATAAGAGCGTCTGCTAAATGACTAAAATGTAAAATGTAAAATGTATGCTTGTAATCGTTAAGGACTGGGGAGTTTTTCAGGATAAAAAAGAAATGGAATGGAGCTGAGCACAGGCAAAATCCTAGAGGAAAACCTGGTTCAGTCTGCTTTCCACCAGACACTGAATTGACCTTTAAGCAGACAATAATCTATAACACAAGGATAGATCTACACTGGAGTTGCTTAGCAAGAAGAGTGAATGTTCCTGAGTGGCCGAGTTACAGTTTTGACTTAAATCTGCTTGAAAATATATGGCAAGACCTGAAAATGGTTGTCTAGCAATGATCAACAACCAATTTGACCGAGGTTTAAGAATTTTGAAAATAATAATTTTGCACAATCCAGGTGTAGAAAGCGCTTATAGACTTACACAGAAAGACTCACAGATGTAATTGCTGCCAAAGGTGATTCTAACATAAATTGACTCAGGGGGTTGAATACTTGTATTTTTCATATTTATTTTACAAATGTAATAATTTTTCTCACACTTTGACATTACAGAGTATTTTGTGTAGATCATTGACAAAATAAATTACAGTTAAATCAATTTCAATCCCACTTTGTAACACAACATAATATGGAATAAATCAAGGGGTGTGAATACTTTCTGAAGCCACTGTATATACTGTATATATTTTTGCTAGGTAGCGTTAGCTTGCGCTAGTCGGCTATACCTGCGCAAAAACTCCAGTATAGCTTGTTCTCCATCTTCTTTTTAAATAGTGAGCCAACATGTTTTCACCACTTATTTCCATGACTGATCAAAACTCGTTTTCTCATGCTCTCTCTTGTCTCTCTGCAGCAGACATATGTTTGGAACATCAAATCGCAATATCAAATCGTGATGTTGTGGAAAATTCTGTCACCAGAGTGAGAATCGCAATACATATCGTATCGGCACCCAAGTATCGTGGTAATATCTTATCGTGAGGTCCCTGGCAATTCCCAGCCCTGATTAAAATGGGTCAACACTTCCTTCTATCTTTGACTCATTTTCCCCCAGCTACAAGCTGTCTGTAATACTACTGTCGTCTGGCTGCATGTCATCTGGTGAGCTGTTTATGAACTCAATGATCCAGGCCTCCAGTACAGAGACCATAGATATGGAATGATAGCACAGCATGGGCAGCCCCATTGCTTCGTATGCTCTTACTGAAAGGGATATTATTGCTTCCTCCAACAAAACAATGTGTGATCCCTTTAACCTCAACATGTCCTCTGATCCTGGAGGCATGGACATAAAAACACTTTCAAACGTGTTTGGCAGGTACTTCAAATCTTTGCATGGGAATCCTATTTGAACGTAATGTGTGTGACCTAAAGCCTTACATTCACCAAAAAGGTGTTGCGTGAGTTGGGGGAGGGGGTGCATAAACCTCTTCTCGAAGGCGTCCCTCGCCTTTTCTATGGTTGCACATATCATCTCTGCAAGGGTGAACTTTGATGTCAAAATATTGAATGTGTGTGACAGCACCGGTCAAGTTTGTAAAGAACAAAATGACCATATATTTGCATCAGCCTCAACTCTATTTGTGTGTGTGCAACGCGTGCAAATCTGGTACAAAGGTGAAGAAAAAAATTGACCTCAAATGTGAAGACAATGTATTAAAATGGGTCAATGCTTCCTTCCATCTTCAACAAATTTTCCCCCTGCTACAAACTGTCTGTTCTACTACTGTCGTCTCTTCCCATGTCAACTGGTGAGCTGTTTATGAACTCAATGACCCAGGCCTCCAGTGCAGAGACCATAGATATGGAAAGATAGCACACGTTCTATCCTTGCAAATGGCATCCTCTGTGACAGCATGGGCAGCGCCATTGAGGGCAATCTCTATTTTAAAGTAGTCATCCAGAGACAAACAGCCATTACCCTGGTATTACTATTCACTCTACCACTGACAGACTTGAACTCCCCCTCCCCTGCTCCATCGTCTTACATGCTCCATTAGATCCACAAAGTTGACCTGACACAACTCACTGTCTCAAAACAATCCAGTAAACGTATGGTCCAATGTGCCAATGAGTAATATGAATCACTCTCTAAACTGTGCGTGCAAATGGTTTATATTGCTGTTGTTATCCTTCCAACATATCTATCAGATTTTGACGGGAGCTAATCCATTGCCATGCAGGGGAATTGATTGTGTTGCTCAGCTTTGGTCTCCGTTTGGCCAATCTTCTGTACATGTTCCCCAGATTTAAGTAGGCTCCTCTAAATCCCAGAGCGCACCACTCAGTCACTTTAAACCGTAATCCATAGCTGAGCAACACAATCAATTCCCCTAGAATGTTTACACTCCAGTACAACAGTAGTATGGAGCATTCATAGAGAATGGCCTGATTACAGTCTGTGAGATGACGCCGTCGCTTCGTTCTGCTGCACTGGGCTGCACAGTATTGTGTTTCACTCTCAGAGCAGCCAATCAGTCACACACACACACACACACGTGCTCATGCACACATACACACACACACACATCCATCTTCATATCCCAGTCAGTCCTCCATTACAGCTTCAACTTTGCCCCACATGCTATGGTATGCCAGAGACCGACAAGTATGAACGGTGGTGCGATGGTGAAGTTGGTGGACGTGCATACACAGTTCAGGGAGTTTACGCAACTCTACCTGTGTAAAGAATTGCAAGGTGCCGGTAAGTAACACACCGCCCTAACCACAATGACTCAATCTCAGAGAAACACCACAAGTCTTTTCTTAGAATAAAAATAATAAAACAAGGACATTCTGACTTACTTCAACCACATTCAAGGTATAAAAAATAAAAAGTTTTTGACAAATCATTTGTTATGGCTTGTTGCTACTTCCATCGCAATTTCAAGCCTGAGGTGATTTTCCATGAGCCATGCCCAAACTGCTGCTCTCTTTCTCACTCTCTCTGTCTCTCTCTCTCTCTCTCTCACCCAGTCAGACTTGCATACCTACCACTTGCACAACCCATCTCCTGCAGCGCTCTACTAACTCTACATCACAAACTGCATCAAATCACATTTACTATACACTGATGTGCTGCCACTCAATGCTATCATTCAGTCAAATATTTATATACCTTTTCTACCCCCTAATCCTGCAGGAATGCTAGATCACTCCTTAATGGTTTTGACTTGGTCTATGTCCCAAATGGCACTCATAGTGCACTACTTTTGACTAGAGCTCTATGGGCCCTGGTCAAAAGTAGTGCACTATTAAGTGAATAGGGCGCTAATTGGGGATGCAAGCTCAGTCCCCTGGCTGCCAAAGCTCCAGCTTTTTAATTACTCAACACAGCACACCGCTCCAGAGCTGGCACAGTGAATTTACAGGCTCTTTATGGTCAGACCACACACACACACAGAAAAACATGCACGCTTACACACACACACACACGCGCGTGCTCGCTTCTGTAGGTAAGCGCACACAAGCACATGCACACACACATACAGATTTCTAAGTAAAAGTATATCAGTGCTAATGGCATAAATCCACTTCAAATAGTGAACCAATGAACCACTGTAGATGAAGTGTGGGACTACTCTGTGCCAACTGTAGTGAAAATAGGTCAATTATATAATCTTTATTAGTGCTCGATATTACTTTGTCAGCGAAGGTTAAGATTACATTCCAACATAAAACCACAACAAGGCCTAGGTTTTTTGTCATTCTTTGAGGTACAAAAACAATTATTTAAAAAACGTAACTGGGAGACTGTGATTTGGAAATAATAATGATTTAAAATGTGAACATAAACACAAAACACAGCTCCAAACAAACCCCATTATCTCCAACAGGAGGAGAGAAGCCCAATAGAGCCAACATAACATGGTGAAAAAAACAACATTCCCCACAACAACGCCATGAGAAGACGCCAACACTACTTCATTAGATTGACACACACACACACACACACACACACACACACACACACACACACACACACACACAAACACACACACCACAGAGAGAGAGACAGTAGACTACACAGTTCTAGTGGGATGTTTGTTTTGGCATTAGGGGCCCCTTCCTTTGTTCCTGAGAACACAATGTTTTCTTCCTTAGGAAAGAGGAAAGGAGCATGATAGAGAGAGTGAGACTCCCAAATGGCACCCTATCCCCTATATCAGTGTTTCCCAACCCTGGTCCTCCAGTACCCCCAACAGTACACATTTTCGTTGTAGCCCTGGACAAACACACCTCATTCAACTCATCGAGGGCTTGATGATAAGTTGACCAGTTGAATCAGGTGTGCTTGTCCAGGGTTACAATAAAAATGTGTACTGTTGGGGGTACTGGAGGACCAGGGTTGGGATACACTGCCCTATATAGTGCACTACTTTTGACAAGGGCTCTGGTCAAAAGTAGTGTACTATTTAGGGAATGGGGTGCCATTTGGGACACATCCTAAGTCTGCATTCAAAACCATTAGAGCTGCCTATGCTTCCTTTTTCCACTTATTTTAAATCACACTGTTCCACAGCAGAGCCTGTCACACTGAAACATCCACAGTGTTGCCTAATCACTCATACCTTAAATAAACTGCATGCCTTTAGTGATAGAATATTATTTACAGAGGGTGTTGATTAAAGGAAATTGAGGTTTTGCCAGCAAATGGGCTGAAAAACCAAGGCAGGCCACTTGAATAGTCCAATTCAGAGAGGCGTTGTGTAAGTTAAGGCTTCCGCACCAACCATTCTCACTCTAACTCAAAGTGTTATGCAGCCACATGGTTTACTTGCATAGCAATCATGTAGGCCTAACTGAGGGATTGCAAACAATTTTTATCATAGGTACATTTCAACTGTGAGAGACTGAATCTAAAATAAAAATCCAGAAAATCACATTGTATGATTTTTAAGTAATTAATTTGCATTTTATTGCATGACATAAGTATTTGATACATCAGAAAAGCAGAACTTAATATTTGGTAGAGAAACCTTTGTTTGCAATTACAGAGATCATACGTTTCCTGTAGGTCTTGACCAGGTTTGCACACACTACAGCAGGGATTTTGGCCCACTCCTCCATACAGACCTTCTCCAGATCCTTCAGGTTTCGGGGCTGACCAAGCCACGACCCATCTTCAATGCTCTTACTGAGGGAAGGCGGTTGTTGGCCAAGATCTCGCGATACATGGCCCCATCCATCCTCCCCTCAATACGGTGCAGTCGTCCTGTCCCCTTTGCAGAAAAGCATCCCCAAAGAATGATGTTTCCACCTCCATGCTTCACGGTTGGGATGGTGTTCTTGGGGTTGTACTCATCCTTCTTCTTCCTCCAAACACGGCGAGTGGAGTTTAGACCAAAAAGCTATATTTTTGTCTCATCAGACCACATGACCTTCTCCCATTCCTCCTCTGGATCATCCAGATGGTAATTGGCAAACTTCAGACGGGCCTGGACATGCGCTGGCTTGAGCAGGGGGACCTTGCGTGCGCTGCAGGATTTTAATCCATGACGGCGTAGTGTGTTACTAATGGTTTTCTTTGAAACTGTGGTCCCAGCTCTCTTCAGGTCATTGACCAGGTCCTGCCGTGTAGTTCTGGGCTGATCGCTCACCTTCCTCATGATCATTGATGCCCCACGAGGTGAGATCTTGCATGGAGCCCCAGACCGAGGGTGATTGACCGTCATCTTGAACTTCTTCCATTTTCTAATAATTGCGCCAACAGTTGTTGCCTTCTCACCAAGCTGCTTGCCTATTGTCCTGTAGCCCATCCCAGCCTTGTGCAGGTCTACAATTGTATCCCTGATGTCCTTACACAGCTCTCTGGTCTAGACTCAGATCACAAGCTTCCTCTTAAAGGCATCATTTACTTTGTGGAAATGTGACCTTACAGAATGTGGAACATTTTAAAACACTACTGATCAAAACTGAGGTTTCCCACGAATTCGAGTATTTTAAATAAAAGGACCACAACTATTACTGAGAATGGTATCATCAGCCCAATGTAGAAATATCCAAACCTCGCAAGATTGTAAACTGATTGTAAACAGACAACCTGTATCTTGCTAAAACAGATTAAAACAGTAGGCTACATTAAAGTGGATTAAAAGCGCTGCATTACAAAAAGCCAATGACGGATTGCTATGAAAGACTAAACCCCTCTTGGTTCAGATTATGACATCTCCCTAAGGAATGGTTTATGCAGGTAATGCTAGCCATCTCAATCAATCACACTTAGCCTGTGCTACCCCCTGATGGGATGGAGTCTGAGGCTGTGTCCCAAATGGCACCCTATTCCTTATATAGTGCACTACTTTTGACCAGGACCCATAGGGATGCTGCCTCAGACTGTACTGCTCAGGGGCAGCTTGGCAGGTCCACCCTGAAAGCAGAGCCAGGAGTCGATATATCAACATCACTAAGAGCCATGCTGCAGAGAAAAACAGAGGATATTCAGTAGGCTCCATGACATGTGTCCCGTTGATTTAAATACTTGAGAATAGATCAGGACAACTACTGAGATTCAGAGAAGAATAACACTCCTTAGAGTAGGATTGCAAAATTCTGGTAACTTTCCCAAGATTCCCAGGTTTTCCCAACATCAGGAAAAAAAAGGAGCAAGGAATCTAGAATCCTACAACTAGGATTTCTGGAAAACCTGGCAATTTTGGGAAAGTTACTGGAATTTTGCAACCCTACCCTGGAGTAAGCAGATTGAACCCCCAAAAAAGGGAACCATAGAGGACTTAGTACTCAATGTCCATAACAAATGTATTGAGCGTGCACCGACTATGATGATAATGTATAACACTGTGTTCCTACAGTAGGCTTTAAGTCTCTTAGACCAATCACTATTCTAACCTAACCTACCTAACCACCTTCCCTTTCAGTGGTCTTCTGAGTTCATTCATGCGATCTCATCCAAGAGATACTTGTTGAAATGATTCAAACGTTTCTTACAGCAAACTTTTGTCTCGTTTGTTGAACCCTCAACCTCACCTGTCCTCTGCTCTGACTATGTCCAGTAACATTGGCATAAAGAGCCTGTCAAGCTGATTTCATGCCTGTCTGCCTCTGGAAACATGACACCCCACTTATACATACTTGATGTTGTGCCACCAAAACACACCTCATCCACTGCTGCATTACTACTGCAATCTCAGAACCAAATCTGGCATTTATGTTAACAGTCTGTCCGTCACTAGAGACTACTGTTGCATAAGCCTGAGCCTGATGTTACCTTTCCAGCATGCCAAACAGGCTTACACAAGTGTGCCTGCCTATTACTGAACACTGAAGTGGAAAGATCAGGATGACAGGCCATGTCACAAAAGGGATTCTAAACATGACCTCTGGTTTGGACAGCCTACTCCTATTTCCCTAATGAAAGCTTTAAACACTCTTTCAGCACAAGATGTCGAATGAGTCCCAAATGGCATTGTTTTGTCTTGACCCCAGATAAACCCAGTTGGCTATTTGATTGAATAAGGCCTTGGGCTTGCCGATTGATTGTAAATTGATACTGTACTGAGATCAATAGAGGGACATAACTAGTGATGGGGGGAAGAAATCGATACAGTTACCTATCGAGATATTATTTTTGACGATATATCGTATCGTATCGTATTTGCACTAGTTGGCTGTACCTACACAGAAACTCTAGTATTTTCCTGCATAGCTTGTTCTCCATCTTCTTTTTAAATAGGGATCCAATTTGATTTCAGCACTTTTATTTCCATGACTGATCAAAACTTGTTTTCTCATGGCTCTCTCTTGTCCCTCTGCAGCAGACATATGGTGAGCAATATGTTTGAAACATTGAATCGCAATATAATATACAGTTGAAGTCGGAAGTTTACTTAAACCTTAGCCAAATACATTTAAACTCAGTTTTTTTACAATTCCTGACATTTAATCCTAGTAAAAATTCCCTGTCTTAGGTCAGTTAGGATCAACACTTTATTTTAAGAATGTGAAATGTCAGAATAATAGTAGAGAGAATGATTTATTTCAGCTTTTATTTATTTCATCACATTCCCAGTGGGTCAGAAGTTTACATACACTCAATTAGTATTTGGTAGCATTGCCTTTAAATTGTTTAACTTGGGTCAAACGTTTCGGGTAGCCTTCCACAAGCTTCCCACAATAAGTTGGGTGAATTTTGGCCCATTCCTCCTGACAGAGCTGGTGTAACTGAGTCAGGTTTGTAGGCCTCCTTGCTCGTACACACTTTAACAGTTCTGCCCACACATTTTCTATAGGATTGAGGTCAGGGCTTTGTGATGGCCACTCCAATACCTTGACTTTGTTGTCCTTAAGCCATTTTGCCACAACTTTGGAAGTATGCTTGGGGTCATTGTCCATTTGGAAGACCCATTTGCGACCAAGCTTTAATTTCCTGACTGATGTCTTGAGATGTTGCTTCAATATATCCACATAATTTTCCTTCCTCATGATGCCATCTATTTTGTGAAGTGCACCAGTCCCTCCTGCAGCAATGCTGCCACCCCCGTGCTTCACGGTTGGGATGGTGTTCTTCGGCTTGCAAGCCTTCCCCTTTTTCCTCCAAACATAACGATGGTCATTATGGCCAAACAGTTATATTTTTGTTTCATCAGACCAGAGGACATTTCTCCAAAAAGTACGATCTTTGTCACCATGTGCAGTTGCAAACCGTAGTCTGGCTTTTTTATTGCGGTTTTGGAGCAGTGGAGGTCTACAATTTCTTTTCTGAGGTCTTGGCTGATTTCTTTTGATTTTCCCATGATGTCAAGCAAAGAGGCACTGAGTTTGAAGGTAGAACTTGAAATACATCCACAGGTACACCTCCAATTGACTCAAATTATGTACATTAGCCTATCAGAAGCTTCTAAAGCCATGACATCATTTTCTGGAATTTTCCAAGCTGTTTTAAGGTACAGTCAACTTAGTGTATGTAAACTTTTGAACCACTGGAATTGTGATATAGTGAATTATAAGTGAAATAATCTGTCTGTAAACAATTTTTGGAAAAAGTACTTGTGTCATGCACAAAGTTGATGTCCTAACCGACTTGCCAAAACTATAGTTTGTTAACAAGAAATTTGTGGAGTGGTTGAAAAACGAGTTTTAATGACTCCAACCTAAGTGTATGTACACTTACCATTTCAACTGTAGAATCGTGAGAATTGTAATACATATCGTATTGGCACCAAAGTATTGTGATAATATCGTGAGGTCCCTGTCAATTCCCAGCTTCACACTCTTAGAAAAAAGGGTTCCAAAAGGGTTATTCGACTGTCCCCATAGGCGAATCCTTTTTGGTTCCTGGGAGAACCCTTTTTGGTTCCACATAGAACCCTTTTGGGTTCCATGTAGAACCATCTGTGGAAAAGATCCTACCTGGAACCAAAAAGGGTTCTTGAAAGGATTCTCCTAAGGGGACAGCCGGAAAACCCTTTTAGGTTCTAGATAGCACCTTTTTGTCTAAGAGTGTAGTCATACCCCAGGGGAACAGTTTGTCATCACTACAACACTAGCCATCCTTCCAGTAGCTCAGGCTCATGTAAAGGAGACCTAAGAGCAGCCATTCCATCCCTCAGGCACTCTGTCCTCATCTGATCTCTCTGTCCTTGTCTAACCCTCACAAAGGTTACATCAGGCCCATGTGCCATGTGTCTCAACATGCAGCCAGCCATCTTCCAAACACAACGCTTTGTCTCATCCGTGCTAGCGAGTCATGGCACAGCTAGTGTTGCTTATCTCTGGGTGAACAGAATGATAAAGACGTCATAAGTGTCGTGTTTCTGAACAGTGTCTAATACCCTTTTCAGACATATGGAATGTGCCGCCTTGAAAGGGCCTCGGCTACTGCATGTTTGTTTGTCTGTAAGGGTACACTACGGCTTTTTAAATGCCAACACGAAACCTTCTCTCAAGATAGCTTCGAAGCGCCACTGAACAGGCATTTTACTTGTCAATCAAATAATCTCGAACAGCCTGCGCGCAACCTGCCTGCCTGCTGCTGCCTGCGCGCAGACCACTCTCACCTAAAAAAGTATGTTAAAGTTAATTAAATAGCATGATTTACCAAGACATTTAGTTTTTTTTTAAAATCTAGCTACCCTACCATAAAAACAACACAGCAGCACATCAATCAGCAACGTTTATATTCGTCAGGGAAACAGTACCGAACGCTTCTGATGCAGCACTTTATTTAATTGTCTGAAAGGTTATCAATTGTCACTATCGACACATTACTGTAGCGGCGTTCTATGTCTGTAAAGGGTATAATAATAACAGACAGAGGAGAGGTAAAAACTGGGAGCCACGACAACATAAACTCAAATGAAATCCTGATTGGAAGAACAGCGTGAGTTGTACACAGAATACTGTGTGGACACCTTGTGCTTTTCTACAGGAGGTATGTCCAAATGGCACCCTATTCCCAACATAGTGCACTAATTTTAACCAGAGCACTATAGACCCTGGTCAAAAGTAGTACACTATATAGGGAATAGGGTGCCATTTAGGATGTAAGCCATTTCACAGATTAACCAGTGTGTTCCTGTTAGTAACGGTCACTATGACCTCAACACACAGTTCCAGACAAACCCCATTCTCTCTAACAGGAGGAGAGATGACCATTAGAGCCAACATAACACGTTGAAATAACAACATTTCCCACAACAACGCCATGAGAAGAGAAAGAACAACACTACTACTATTGCTATTAGATCCAGAAACAACACAAGGAGATTAGAGGAAATGTTTATCCAATGTTGCAATAGTTGATCTAAACACAGGTCACCATGACCTGAAGCATGTGTGTGTGTGTGTGTGTGTATGTGTGTGTGTTTGTTGCCCTCTTACCTGGTAGGCCTCCAAAATGTAGCGGCCCTGGCAGGGTGTGGGGGCCGGGGCCGGGGGGGCCTGCCTCTTCTTAGGCTCTATCCTGGGGGACATCCTTGAGATGTTCATGACGGACTGGGACTGGCCCAGGGTGCTGGGCCGCGCCTCCACACAGGGCACGATGGATACCGTGGACAGGCCCTGGAGGAGGAGGGAAAGAGAACATAAAAATAATGACACACAGACAGATAATGTGACACATTCACACAAACAGATGTGTGAGTACACACACGCACACACATACCTGCATGTACACACACACAATTATAAACACACGGAACAGAGCTACACATTGACTAAGTGGCATTTAAAGGTCAGGTAATTCTAAATGGTCTCAGAAACCCAAAATCAGAGGTTGATATGGTGGACAGTGGAAATGTCAAGGGCCAGTCCTGAAGGGTGAGCATGGGTCATGCCCTTTATTCACTAACGCTGTGTCCCAAGTGGCACCCTATTCCCTATGTTTTGCACTACTTTTGACAAGGACCCATAACACTATATAGAGAATTGGGTGCCATTTGGGACTCAGACTAACAAGGGCCCAGGACTGAATCCAAAATATCAGCATATCCTCATCATGGCCTGTTACTGCAGTGGTAAATTAAGCCATTGCAAAGCTTAGGGTTGAGTATGTCTCCAAGGCACAACAGTCTAGTCTGCAAGAGGAGGCTCTCAGATCCCTGCTGAATCAGGATGCTTTGTGACAGTTGTGACAGCTGCAGTCAGCTTTATTACCATTCTGTAGCTACGCCGCCTCGCTAATACACTGTCTGTCTGTCTGAGAGGGATGCTGCTGAGCAATGGGGAACGATCAAAGAATTATCAAAGGCTTTTCTAAGCATCTGAAACTTAGCCTGGTCCCAGATCTGTTTGAGCTGCCTTTCCAACTCCTATGGTCATTATTGTGCCAAGTGATCATTAAAAGGAGTTGGCAAGACAGCACAAACAGATCTGGGTCTAGGCTATCTGAAATTCATAGGCTTCTGTCTCTCTGTACTGTAGCACAACTAGGAACAAAGATATGCAGCTTTAAACGATAGTGGGGGGGGGGGGTTAAAGAAAATAAAGGAAAACGTATTAAGTCAAAATGACACAGCATTTCAGACCATTCCTGGGCAGAGGATCAAAGAAGTCATGTAAAAAAGTTCAATGACTAAAACATTATGTTCTAGTCATTAGAGGTAATCAGTGAACCAAGCACTTCTCACAGTAGGGAGAATGAATGGAACCTGAATGGAAAATGTGCAGGAGGGCCTTGTGTTCGGGTCTGAGAGAAAGCACTCAAAGGTATTCAGACCTGGGCTTAAATAGTATTTGTTTTCTTTCAAATACTTTTGATCATTTGATTGAGCCTGCCTGGACTGCCATGTGGGCAGGGCTTGAACTTTGGGGAGTATTTCATTGGTTCCATTACACCAGGGAAGCTAAATCAAACTAGTCTAGTCTACTAAGGAGAGTCAGTGTGGCTTTGAGGGAGATGTGACTATGCCAAATGCTTGCATATTGCATAAGCTTGGAAAAGCAGACCGAGCTACTATACAGTAATGCAGAGCAAAGAGAAAAATATGTATGTAACAAAATCCCAGCTGGAGTCTTATAGTCCTGCAGTAGATTTACTGCTGCCCACCTCTAAGAACAGAGCCTAGATCAACTAAGTCAACATCATTCATCTTTATGACACTTATATGTTTAACTTTGATCTTCTCTTATCTTACTCAAGACACGTGACTCTCCCACCTACTAGATCTTCCGGACCCAAATAATATATAACATTTAGCAGACGCTTTTATCCAAAGAGACTTACAGTCATGCGTGCATACATTTTACGTATGGCTGGTCCCGGGAAAAGAACCCACTATCCTGGCGTTGCAAGCGCCATGCTCTACAGAGGACCACATGATTTATACATGGGCATAATTGCATCCAAAGGATAGATGACATGGCATAGTTTACACAGTGCATTAGTCAGCTTTACTCTTTTCCCTTCTATCGGATGCTGCCTATATATAGGCAACTGTACATATAAATGTACATATACAGTGAGGGAAAAAAGTATTTGATGCCCTGCTGATTTTGTACGTTTGCCCACTGACAAAGACATGATCAGTCTATAATTTTAATGGTAGGTTTATTTGAACAGTGGGAGACAGAATAACAACAAAAAAATCCAGAAAAACGCATGTCAAAAATGTTAGAAATTGATTTGCATTTTAATGAGGGAAATAAGTATTTGACCCCTCTGCAAAACATGACTTAGTACTTGGTGGCAACACCCTTGTTGGCAATCACAGAGGTCAGACGGTTCTTGTAGTTGGCCACCAGGTTTGCACACATCTCAGGAGGGATTTTGTCCCACTCCTCTTTGCAGATCTTCTCCAAGTCATTAAGGTTTCGAGCCTGACGTTTGGCAACTCGAACCTTCAGCTTCCTCCACAGATTTTCTATGGGATTAAGGTCTGGAGACTGGCTAGGCCACTCCAGGACCTTAATGTGCTTCTTCTTGAGCCACTCCTTTGTTGCCTTGGCCGTGTGTTTTGGGTCATTGTCATGCTGGAATACCCATCCACGACCCATTTTCAATGCCCTGGCTGAGGGAAGGAGGTTCTCACCCAAGATTTGACGGTACATGGCCACGTCCATCGTCCCTTTGATGCGGTGAAGTTGTCCTGTCCCCTTAGCAGAAAAACACCCCCAAAGCATAATGTTTCCACCTCCATGTTTGACGGTGGGGATGGTGATCTTGGGGTCATAGGCAGCATTCCTCCTCCTCCAAACACGGCTAGTTGAGTTGATGCCAAAGAGTTCAATTTTGGTCTCATCTGACCACAACACTTTCACCCAGTTCTCCTCTGAATCATTCAGATGTTCATTGGAAAACTTCAGACGGACCTGTATATGTGCTTTCTTGAGCAGGGGGACCTTGCGGGCGCTGCAGGATTTCAGTCCTTCACGGCGTAGTGTGTTACCAATTGTTTTCTTGGTGACTATGGTCCCAGCTGCCTTGAGATCATTGACAAGATCCTCCCATGTAGTTCTGGGCTGATTCCTCACCGTTCTCATGATCATTGCAACTCCATGAGGTGAGATCTTGCATGGACCCCCAGGCCGAGGGAGATTGACAGTTATTTTGTGTTTCTTCCATTTGCGAATAATCGCACCAACTGTTGTCACCTTCTCACCAAGCTGCTTGGCGATGGTCTTGTAGCCCATTCCAGCCTTGTGTAGGTCTACAATCTTGTCCCTGACATCCTTGGAGAGCTCTTTGGTCTTGGCCATGGTGGAGAGTTTGGAATCTGATTGATTGATTGCTTCTGTGGACAGGTGTCTTTTATACAGGTAACAAGCTGAGATTAGGAGCACTCCCTTTAAGAGTGTGCTCCTAATCTCAGCTCGTTACCTGTATAAAAGACACCTGGGAGCCAAAAATCTTTCTGATTGAGAGGGGGTCAAATACTTATTTCTCTCATTAAAATGCAAATCAATTTATAAAATTTTTGACATGCGTTTTCTGGATTTTTTTGTTGTTATTCTGTCTCTCACTGTTCATGTCACGCCCTGACTCAGGGGACTCTTATATGTTGAGTCAGGGTGTGAATATTCTATGTTGTGTATATTTATGTGAATTATCTAGTATGTGTAGATCTATGTTGGCCGGTGTGGTTCCCCATCAGAGGCAGCTGTCGCTCGTTGTCTCTGATTTGGGATCATACTTAGGCAGCCTATTGGCACTCGTTAGTTGTGGGATCTTGTTCCGTGAGTAGGCTTGTTTTGTGTTTAGCCTTAGGACTTCACGTTTCGTTGGTTTGTTGTTTTGTCGTGTGTTTATCATTTAAATAAACATGTACGCATTTCACGCTGCGCCTTGGTCTGACCCCTCCTTAAACGAACGTGACAGAAGATCCCACCAAACACGGACCAAGCAGCGTGCCCAGGAGGACCGAACACCCTGGACACAGGTGGGGAAGATGTGGTCGTGGGAGGAGATATTTGCAGGGAAAGGACCATGGGCGAAGGTAGATGCCCAGGCAGGAGAGGAGCAACGGCAACACAGAGGACGCCGGTCGAGGAGGAAGCCCGGGAAGCAGCCCCAATAATTTTTTTTGGGGGGGCACACGGGGTGGTTGGCGGAGCCTAGTTTCAGAGCAGAGCCAACTCCCCGTACTCACGCCAGGAAGTGTGTGACTGGGCAGGCTCCGTGTTATGCGGAGCTACGTACTGTGTCGCCAGTGCGCCGGCACAGTCCTGTGCTAGCACCACGCACGTGTCGTGTGAAAATAGGCATCCAGCCAGGACGGGATGTGCCGGCTCAACGCTCCTGGTCTCCAGTACGCCTCCTCGGTCCCGCATATCCTGTGCCGGCTCTACGTACTGTATCGCCAGTGCGCGTGCACAGCCCAGTGCGTCCTGTGCTAATACCTCACACATACTGTGCGGAAGTAGGCATCCAGCCAGGACGGGTTGTAACAGCTCTCCGTTTCAGACCTCCAGTCCACCTCCACAGTCCGGTCCGTTCCTGCTCCCCGCACCAAACCAGTGGTGCGTGTCGCCAGCCCGGTACGTGGTGCGTGTCGCCAGTCCGGCCCGGCCTGTTCCTGCTCCTCGCACCAAGCCAGTGGTGCGTGTCGCCAGCCCGTACGGTCTGTTCCTGCTCCCCGCACCAAGCCAGTGGTGCGTGTCGCCAGCCCGGTACGGCCCGTTCCTGCTCCCCGCACCAAGCCAGTGGTGCCTGTCGCCAGCCCGGTACGGCCCGTTCCTGCTTCTTGCACCAAGCCAGTGGTGCGTGTTCCCAGTCCGGCCCGGCCTGTTCCTGCTCCTCGCACCAAGCCAGTGGTGCGTGTCGCCAGTCCGGCCCGGCCCGTTCCTGCTCCTCGCACCAAGCCAGTGGTGCATGTTACCAGTACGGCCCGGCCTGTTCCTGCTCCTCGCACCAAGCCAGTGGTGTGTGTCTTCAGTCTGGCCCGGCCCGTTCCTGCTCCTCGCACCAAGCCAGTGGTGCGTGTTCCCAGTCCGGCTTGGCCTGTTCCTGCTCCTTACACCAAGTATAGTGGTGCGTG